GGTTATAGGCGGCGGCTCGGATGGGGAGGGGGCAGGGGTGGCTGGCTGGTGGTTGGATGGTGGTGGTTTTTGTTTGCTTTTTTTAAAAAAAAATTATATATTAATTTAATTATTAAATAGTTATATGAGAGTTAAAGTGTAATTAGAAGAAATAAGAGAAATTAGAGGTTAATTAAGTGAATTAGGGGTTCTTGGTTGTCCTCAACAAAAAAAAATTACAATCTGGTTTTTAGTTGCCAAAAAAAATTTTATAAGGTTTTTCCCAACAAAAAGTTGTTATAAATGATTTAATCTGACAAAATTTCCAGAAAAATAATTAAAACTCTATATATGTCAAAATTAAGGATTATAATAATTTTATTGAGAATTACTTCATCATTATTTTATTAGTAATAATGAGCTTTTTTTATTTTTATTTTTATTTTTTTATTTTTTATTTTTTTTTACCAATTCTTGTTACCCCTCTCTTCATCAATCATCATAGAAAATTAAGCATTTTTCTCCAAATTCTTCCGTTACGCGAATAGTAGCCAAAATATAAAATTTCAAAACCTTCATCTAACAAAAAAATTGACATTAGCTATATACCGTAGTGTAATAATTACTCAAACCACTACATATTATCTAATCCCGCCCTTTGCCTAAAATAAAGTTAGTGATCGATCAAGATAGGATTCCTTGTTGAGCATAATTTCAAGACAATTGGTAGAGCCCAATTTTAGCAATCGAATGTATGAAATGTACATATTTTTTTTTTGTATTACCCAATAAGTCTATTTAGCAAACGTGTTCTACGTGTGTGTGTATATAAGACACTCCCATAAAAACTAACTATCGATCTCGTCATTTATATATGTGTTGATTAACTTTTCAATGCTGCTGCAAATCTAATTAATTAAAGTCAAAGAAGAAATTAAATATATCACTTGATGAGGAAATATAATTAAATTACTATTTCTCTACTAAAAAGAATGTTCCATTAATTAGTATGATAATACAAAATAATTAGTACTTCGCATGAGATTAACATGGGGTTAAAAAATTCCAACTCTCACCAACTTAGCGTAGATTTTGTGAACTTACTTAACCATGCAAATCCAACAGCCGCTATTACTTCCAATGTTGTCTTCCCTCTCTTAAAGGAGTCGAGTAGACTTTCACGGCGTCTCCACTCTCCCTTGACTTTTTCCTCCTTGCTGAAAGTCAATGATATTGTTTTATATCATTCTTCTCAATTTCTATTCCACTTACTATTTTAAAATGTCCGAAAATAAAATTATATACTATGATCGAGGCCGTCATAGCTTTATGTTACTTGCATGTAAATTAAGTTTACTATCACCGAATAACATGGTGTCGCATAATGAGTAATAAGAAAGTCGTTTAAAGAATAATCTTCAAGTAAAACTTTGTCAAGGTTTAAAAAAAAAAAAAAAAAAAAATAGTAAAATTTTGTCATGCATGCATCAAATTGTACTGTGACTTTTGAGAGGATGATGAATTGATGATGCACTAAACACTACGATTATTTTCGAATAGGGAGAGTAGTTAAAGTGATTCGAATCATTTGATGCATCACTTCTTGATTTGTTCATAATAGTCTTTATCAGAAAATTAATCATGTGACTAATATGAGCATATTACCTAATCATCATCTTGCTTTATTACAAAGGCTAAATAATAAGACTTTAGCTCTTAAAAGTTTTATATAGTACGTAAAAGTCATAAATGCAACCGTATATTACTATTGAGATTATGATCTAATGTTGTTTCCAAAAAAAAAAAAAACATTTCAACAAAATGGCCTTTTAATTCAACATCAAAAGTTTGGGAAGCTATTATATATATATAATGGTGCATTGGTTAGTAGCGTTATAATTTAAAGACTAAGAAAATATAAATGAGGCAATTTGTTCTATAATTATGTCAAAAAAATCAAAGAAAAAAAAAAGACAAGAAATTTCCATGCAATGTAATGTTGAAAATTTTATTTCAATGTAAGACAACGATGTTATACCTTCTCGATCCCTTGAGAGGAACCTTATTACGTCTTTACCTCCATCTCTATCTATCATCATTATTGCTGGACAAATCCGTAATTTAAGAAATTTTTGCAACTAAGAGATTCGTCTTTTGCAACTAAATTATGATTCATCAATTAGTTACGGAATGGGATCTTACATATTCGTTCTTTAAGAAATTTTTAATTAATTTATTTATTTATTTTTTATCTAAAACTAACAATCACGTAAATTAATTTAAGATGTCACGAAAGAAAATAAGTTTTTATCAAGATAATTATAGTTTATGAGTAGATTTTGTTTGTGTCATTCATTAGATCTTAATTGACCTATTAATATACTCCGTATTTCATAAAGTTTTAAAAATGATGCCCACTGAGAGTGAGATATCTCAAGTATGCTACCCAATATTTGAAATTATAGGAGTATGTCTACATATAAGCTGATACATACATCCAAAAAATGTCTACCTCTGTAATTAATACAAGTAGTTCAGGATTAGTGTCTTTGTAATTTTGTATGTGATATTAGTGGGCTGCATAATAGTGGGTAATATGTTCTAGGGTCTTAGCAGTTTTTGTACCTTAATTGCCGAGTTGTTTGAATTTTAGTTATATACTGATTGAGTCCAATTTCTTGGCCCACTTCTATTCATTCATTAATGTGAAGTTGAAGCTAAGGGATCGATAATTCTTGCTAATAATCTTCAAACCTTCATCTTAGAATTTCATTGTGCTCTCTATCATACAATCAATCTACCATTACACTTTTCTATTTCTTCCTCCAATTGTAGTATTTCTTACAATTCAACCCGGTTATTCAATTTGCATAGTAAAGACATGTAAAATGGTTCATTTTCATTGCGAAATTTTTGTACTCCCTCTGTCCCATAATACTTGACACAGTTATCATATTCGTCCGTTTCAAAATACTTGACACGTTATTAAATATGGAATTGGACCACTAATAAAAAAAATATTTTGCTATACTCTCTTTGAGACCACAAACCCCAAAACCCAATTAAATCCTACTTATTCCCTCTCCTCACTACCCCCACCTTTTGTTTTCTTACAATATAAAAATACAAAAGAAAATTCTTTATATAATAAACAAATGTTTTAAATGGACCCATTTGTAATTTTCTTAAACAACGTTTCCACACCAACGTTCAAAGTATTATGAGACAGAGGGAGTAGCACATTAAGATTTTTGTTGTCGGCTTTCAAAACTAACATGAGCAATTATTGTGTCAAAAAGAGAAAAAAAAAAAAACATGATCAATCATAATCTAAGTATGAATTATCTTATATTTATCACACGGTTCTTAAAATGATCCAGTTATCATAACTTATTAGCCATTAGCTTGTCACATCTATATATATATACTTGTTAGATCCTGTTCACTTCACCTTATTTTTGCTGAACTAAAATTATTTTTACTGAATTGAAATTATTTTTGTTGAACTTAAATTATTTTCACTGAACTAAAATTAATTTTACTGAACTGAAATTATTTGTACTGATTTTCTATTATATTTCTTCTTTATAGTTACCGAATTTTACTGAATTGAACTTATTTTTACTAAAATGAAATTAATTTTATTGAACTGAACTTATTTTTACTGAATTGAAATTATTTTTACTGAACTGAAATTATTTTAATTAATATTATTTTTATAAGGTGAAGTGAACAGGGCCTAATGTCAAACTTATGTTATCTAAAATTATAAGCCTAAACTTCTTTATTAAAAAATTAATATCCAAAATTCATACAACATAAACCTATTGAATCTAAAAATTAATTTACCTGAACTTTAATCGTATTTGAACTTATTAATCTTTGATTTATTTGATTTGAACTTAAATTGTGATCAAAGGATTACCATCTACACTATAAAATAAATTCACCGTGCAATCCAATACACACATGTGAAATGCGGACCATGAATCAACTCTAATCAATGAACAACTTGAAACCAATTTTCCATATAACTAGCAACAAAATAGGAGATTTGGACATTGGATTTAGCAAAGTTAACTGCTGATGATTGATGACTATGTAACGCGGCTTTGAAAATATAATACCAAGTATATACTTGTATAAGCTAAGTTTCTCCTTTTTTTTTTTTTTTTTTTTTCACGTGACAAGAAATTTTGGTGAAATTTCAAAATGAGCATTCTTTTCAACTTTTAAAGATGAAATTGTGGGCAAAATTTGTTTGTTATTACAATCATGAAATAAAACAAAAAGAAAACAAAAAATAGCACTGAGTTTCAGCAAAGTGGCATGTGGCCCACTCTAAAAAATGTCACTGTTAAAACCCACTAACGTTTATGTGGGCCCAAGCCCAGCCAAAAGCTCTAATGGGCGTAGACTATTGGGGCTCACCATTTTTAGAATATTATTATTCTCCGTCTCTTTATGTTCTAGAAACATAAGATGATACTTTATTTTATTTTTTTAATTTTAATATGAAATAGAAGATACTTTACTTACTTATAATAATCTCAATTAAACCTAACAATTATATCTAATTTTATATGATTAGAAAATTGACTATCTAAGATTATAAAATTTTATATGTGTGCATGTAATGTTGATTGCACTAAAAATTTTGTTTGTTAGATGATAATTAATATATGATTAGAGCACACGTAAAATATAAATTCTATGGAGTAGATGTTGACTTTATGAGAAATTCTACTTTTAATGAGATACTTCATATTAAGAACTTCTGCTCTCATACATTCCACCTAACTAAATTTAATACTCGTGAAGAAGTTAAGAAGTGAAATTATAAAAATAACTGAATAATATACACTCTTGAATTTTTTATTTTTCAAGTATATTATTTCAAGAAAACCATGAATACATCATAGCATCCCTTTAAATATTATAATTTATAATAAAAACTATTGAATTTATAATCTTTCCTAAATAGTCATATCTCTTTTTTTATATTAGTTTGAAAATTGGAATATAATTTCACTTATAAATAATAATAAAAATAACAATAACGCATGCATGACATAGAACAACAAACTAGTTTATTATAAAAAAATAAATAAAAAAAAAAATTAGAATCACAAGTTCAATAAACCTAGCATAAACAACACTTGCCTTTAAATTTTTTGGTCGGTCTTCCCTACTTAAAGTAACCCTTTAAAAAAAGGGTACTCTTCCAAAACCACAAACCCATTTTTCCACTTATCTTTTCCATTCACATCAATTACACTATTTTGCTTAATCTTCAAGCTCCTCCCATAAATTGGAGGAGATTCAATCAATAGTACACAAAAAAAAAAAAAAAAAAACAAAAAAAAACAAAAAAAACACAAACCAAAAATAACAAAAATATGGCACTAAAAATGGCCATATGTTGTTTTACCAATACTCTTGACACAAATGATGAACTTGTTCATCCTAAACAAACACCTTCACCTTCTCCTCATAGAGTATCCCATTTAGGCATAACCAATAAACTTAACATTAGCTCGGAAATCTCGATCAACGAGCTTTCGAACTCGATTCCGGGATCAAACCTACATGTTTTTAGCCATGATGAGCTTAGGTTGATCACTAATAACTTCTCATTGAGTAACTTCCTTGGTGAAGGTGGATTCGGCGCGGTGTATAAAGGTTTCTTACATGATAATCTTAGGCCTGGTTTAGAGGCTCAAGCTGTTGCTGTTAAGGTCTTGGATTTGGAAGGTACACAAGGTCATAAAGAGTGGTTGGTAAGTTATTCTTCATACAAGTTTATAACAATAATTAACATATCATGGAACTTTATATTATAATCAAAGGAAAATTAATAAAAACTTTAAAATAGCATACTAATATGTTTAATGTGCACATTTCATTTTATTTTTCTAGGCTGAAGTGATATATCTAGGACAATTAAGGGACCCTAATTTGGTGAAGCTAATTGGGTATTCATGTGAAAAAGAGCAAAGACTCCTTGTGTATGAATACATGGCTAGGGGTAATTTGGACAAGCAACTTTTTAGCAGTAAGTATATCCCTCTTTTTTTTATTCTATTTTAGATTGTTTGTTTTTTATATTCTATCTTTATTGTTTATATTCCAATTTTGGACCTACCTAATTAAGCTAATTAATTTATTTCGGCTTCTTGTTATTTTGATAATGTGAATGTAGGACGTTCTATTCCGTTGCCATGGTTGACAAGAATCAAAATTGCATTAGATACTGCAAAAGGCTTAGCTTTTCTTCATGAACTCAATACACCCGTCATTTTCCGGGATTTCAAGGCCGCAAACATACTCTTAGATGCTGTAAGTTTATACCAAATCATTTACGGCCTCTGCCTAATTTTAATTGTCACGTTACTAGTTCAAATTACATTAATTGTCAGGTAATGCCTAGAATTTGTACGTTTTCCGATTCTAGCCACTAAAGAATTGATTTTGTTTGTGCAGGATTATACAGCTAAACTATCAGATTTTGGGTTTGCTAGAGATGGACCAGATGAAGATAAGACTCATGTTTCTACCAAAAACATAGTGGGCACTAAAGGGTATGCCGCCCCAGAGTACATTATGACAGGTAATTGATTAAAGTATACTTTGAGGACAATGATTCTTGGTTCCCTTAGTGTTACACTGTTACATTACGCACTTGTTCAGTTTACCTTATTTTACTGAATAGAATTAATATTTATTGTATTTCAGTTTCCACGAATTATATGCCATTCTTACTAGTAACATTTAGTTTTACTAATCAAAACTAAAAGTTAGGCATTAGCCACATTGTAGGCATATATGTTTTGAAGCAAATTGCATAAAGTAATACATTTATTGATTGCTTGAATAAAAAAACAGGTCATTTGACAACTATGAGCGATGTTTACAGTTACGGGGTAGTCCTATTAGAATTACTAACAGGTCGAAGATGCATGGACAAGAAGCGTCCGAAAAAAGAGCAGAGTTTGGTAGATTGGGGAAGGCCACTACTAAAAGATCCTCGAAAAATCGAAGGCATAATGGACCCAAGACTAGACGGGCAATACTCGATAGAGGGGTCGAAAATCGCAGCACTGTTGGCATACCAATGCCTAAACAAGCATCCTAAAACAAGGCCTAAAATGAGTGTAGTGATCAAGGTGTTGGAACCACTTTTGGAACTCAATGACATGCCATTTGGGGGGCCATTTGTGTATGTTGTACCAAAAGAAGGTCAGGAAGTAACCAATAATAAAGAGCAATCATTATTGTGTGATGCTAAAAAAGAGGATAACATTTATAATAATGTTAATAATGAAATAAATGAAGTGGTAAACGTTGAAATAGTGGAAGAAAAGGAGGTTGAACGAGAAGAAAAACAAAAGAATGGACAACAAAGAAGGTCACAAAGATCTAGGGCAGTCAAATCTGATTCAGCTCTTTGTGAAGTTCGATAGGAGTTTTTAATTTGTCCTAATTGTGTTTGAATTGCAACAAGTGTACAAAATAAATTTTTTTGTTTGTTAATTGTATTTAAGTTTCATCAGTTGTAAGTTTACTCAGCTCAAATCTTTAGAGTATTCATTAGATAAGGACAGATAATGGAAAAATCAATAATTTATTTTACTACTAGTGTAGCTAATCCAAATATCCAACAATGCAATTGATTGACTCTTTTCTATTAAGAATTTTTACAAGGCTAATAGCCTATTTTGAAAGCAAACATCTTATGGTACCTATAGCAATTACTATGTATATGAGGTGATAAAGTAACATTTATCACCGCCACTTTCCCACAATTGATTACGAGTACATATTATCCTCTAGTGCACCGTTTTTTACTAGTGAGTCTATAAACCCGCAATAACTTCTGATGTATATTTGAAACACTTTTTAATATATTTATAAAATCATCATTGCGGAGTTGGTTTTCTAACAATCTTCAAGACAAATCTTTTAATTTGCTGCCTAAGTGATTGCATTTTGAGACTCCAATTTCACAATCATCTCTTGGTCTTTAATCCAAAATTTCATTGATGATGTCTCAAACACAAATAGTCCTAACTCTGCATCACTTCAGGGGAAAAAAATTTGAAAATTTCCACAAATAATGCTTACCTCGCTCTAAGCCCTTATTCATGCATGGGATGAAAATGTGCATAATCAATATATATATGTATATATATATGTATGTATATATATACACACACAACATACACAACGCCTAGTTGCACTTATTTAAACTTATTGATTTTATTTGAAAGGATTTTTCCTAAAACCTTTTTCTATAGTGTGAAATTAAAAAAGGTTGAGTTACATATAATAATCCAATCGAATGCTGTAAGATATAAATCTATTAAAGATCACTAGTCAACCCAATTACGGCTTTGTAATTGTTTAGAATTTAGTTATGTCAATTCTTACTAGGCTAAATTTTCAATAATCCAAAGTTTTCTAAGCTAAAGAGCATTGAAAGTTGTGCATTCAAAATCAATTAAACTTAACTAAGAAGTAAGAAGCGACAATTTTATGCTTCCTTACCTACCAAGAGAAGGTTTTAGGGTATTAGTAGTCAAATTACATCTTCATTTGTCAATTGGGGTGGTTTACAGCAAGAATTAATTTCTACAAGCATTAATTAATTGGATAAATATCATAATATAAGTAAAAGACTAGAAATAATTATGAGCAATTTTAATTTTATGTCATCCTTTTAACTTTAAAAACACTTAAATGGAAGTAGATACTCCTTATACACCTAAAGTTAAGTAAATGATTAGTTTTCCTACCAAAGCAAACACATCCTTTTATGTTACCTTCTAATGGAACTTTCTTTAAGCTCTCCCATTATAAGCTTTTCATTAAAAAATAAAATAAAAATATTATGTTAAAAAGGTGTTAAGTTTGGGTGTTTCATAATATAGCCAATCCCATGAAATGCAGCTAAGATTAGAAATTGCCAATAATGTTGTTTAAGTATTCATAAGAAAGTAGCTTCGAGAGCCCACGCCTCAAATTGCTTTTTCCCCTACTAAAGTACTAGAGTTAACAATAGGTGCGCGAAACTTTTTGGAATATGTATTCTAATTTAGTTGTGAGAGATACCAATAATTTGCAGCAATCCAATAACGTATACACTATAAAATAAAAGTTATTGTGGTTGAGTTGTAGATTACCGTTAGTGATACTCTATACCCTTGCTTTATCTATCAAGATTATGATTATAGCTTAAACCGAAGGTGAGACGATTAGCATATATGTTCACTGAGGTTCAACAATATACAAATCAGATGGTAATAAGAGGAGGTACCCGCAAACCTTATAAGCTAGTCACCTTTCTACTGTTCTTCTTGCGATAATTGTTCTGATCTACATTAACACGAGAAACTCTCAAAAAGGAGATATCCCTCTAAAGGCCTTTTTTTTTAACTTAATGGAGTGGTATATTCGAGAATTGAGATCAAAGGTGGTCCATGAGTATATTGGACAACACAACGAAAAACAAAGGGATAAAACATAGAAAGACATGTACTAATGTACATGCATGCATGAGTCACATGAGTAGTAAACTAGCTAGTAGTAGTCAATGTTGTAGGAGTCGTGGCTTTTCCTTGCACATCCAACACCAAAAAAGAAAGGCAAACATGTAATGGGAAAGTGGGAGGGTAAGGGTCCTACGCCAAACGTCCTTGCTAAGGGATAAAAGATATAAAGATCCCCAAAAGTCTTATTTCATCGATGCAACTAAGTGCAAAATCTAACAATTAGATCATTGCATGTGTTCAAAACATATGATTGTGCTACCATGCCAAAGTTGATTTGATGCTAGCTTGATTATTGTATGCGTTGTGCTCAATTGGCCAGTTTCATTTATTGAAAAAAACTACACCCTTTCATTTCTAAGGCTTTATCAAATACCAGCCTTCACATAAATCCAACAGTTGTCATTCAAATTTAATACTTCCTCTGTATTTTTTTTTTTTTGTATTGCTCTATAAAGCAAAGTTCACTTTAATAAGGTTTAGGTAAACATGTTGTATACGGATTGTTCTGCAAGTGGAGGCCCTTGTATAGTTTTATAGTATGGGTCTATCTCAAAGGATCACCTCAAAGAGAAATATGAGGTGACATAATAGAAACAAAGGAAGTATTTGGATAGGCAAGTATATATATATCAACAGTTCAACACTATATCACTTTCATCGACGTATCTTTTTTTTTTTTTTTTTTTTTTTTTTTTTTTTTTTTGTTCTTGTATGTGCAGAGTTACTTAAGACATATTATATAATCTCCCTTCTACTCGTAAATCTTTCACTAATGAAACTAGTCATTTTGTTGGCTTCCAGCCTTCCACTTGTACTTGTGCATAACAATAGACAATGGCGTTCTTTCACTATTTAAATGTACAAAATACCACCGCTTAGGACACTAGATTTTTTATCTTTACCAACTAAAAATTTAATATTTTCACACCTATACCACATAGAAGTCGTTTATATACTAAACACTCGAAGATTTAGGATCTGGGCACACTACTCTAAGCTACTTAACACCCTTCTTATTTAAATTAATTATTATGGTGTCATTTTTACACACATGTTAATGTTTGCTTAGTCAAATGATCCTACTACAGCTAATAGAGTGGGGGTGATAGCCTGATAGGTGGCTTCAACAAAACTACTTAGCATTAATTTCAGCAACAAAGAATGCCTTCAGAGAAAGGATGTTGACTATGTAGTGTGTCTAACAACTCCTTAATTTGAAACCGTCTAGTAACTTAATTACTTGAATTAGTGACATCCTGGTTCCTATTAGCTAGTAGCCTAGTAGTAAGTACTCTGTATTTAAGGAGATCGAAGAGTGTAATAACGACCAAAAAAAAGGGCATGTGTGATCAAGGATAGAGGTAGAGAGAATCATTAGCAAATTATAGCATTGTTGCAATTGATTTTACAACTTTTCAAAAAGATATACAGAGTATCTTGTCATTTACGTAGTAAAAAAGAATGGAGGAAATAATTTAGCACCACCTTGTACCTAATGCACGTCAGAAAATGTTAAGCAATGTTAGATTTGGTAGGGAAGCAAAATTCACCTAATTTACTTACATATCAGTTTAAGAATGACTAGATGCAAAATTTTGGTAATCTAGGTCATCGTGGACCACCTGCTAAATACAAGTAGTTTTCAAATAGACTAATGTCTAATTTTAACCAAACCACTTCATCAAATGCACTTAACCATGAAGATGATGACAATCACAAGTACTCGTATGATAGATGGATATACTTAGAATACAACCACAAAATTGAAAGCTTTGATGACATTATTGAAAAGACATTCTGTTGAAATGCTTAAAAGTGTAACACGTACTTTTCTCCATTATTCTTTGAGAATAGTATATGCATAACGCATATCTTCTATTTTGATCCATATATTTCTAATGAAGAAAAATTGCATCCTTTGACCATAGATCCTGTAGGGGCGATTTTGAAAGCAACAAAGAATGTGGGAATGATCCACATACATATCAAGGTAGTGCAATGGCCAATGACTGAGGTAGAGGAGAGACTAAGACGGTGACAAATCTATCTTGGTAAAAAAAAAAAAAAAAAAAAAAAATACAATCTTAAGGACACTTTTTATATTTCTATCATTTATAGAGCCCATAAAAGTTTTCTCAACTAAACCAAAAAACATTTTTGAAAAGCAAACATGTAACGGAGGCAAAACAAGGTCCGAATAGCGGCAAGGGGTCTAATCAAATTTGAACCTAAAATAATCAAGGGTTGGAAAGAAGAGTTCATGACCTCATTCATAACACTTAAGTTATAAATTCAACTCCTTTCTCCAATCTTAGAAAAGAAATTAGCACAAACAACACCATATCTATTACTACCTTCATTTCATATTATTTGCAACGATAAAACAATTTTAGTCACACTTTATGTCAAATCGTTGCAAATAATATGAAACGGAGGTATTATATTAACACCACTCTTAAAACTCATGTATTCTATTTTTCAAAAGTATTAGTAAAAAATGATTATTACTCGTATATGAACTCCGCAAGGGAGCAGTGGAAACACTAGTCGAAGGAGGATGACATTTTTTTTATGTCCTCACCACTTTATAAGAGAATATAACGATCCCCCAGAAAGAGAAAAAGAGGTACAATCTAAACCTAAGACAAATTGAATCAATTACGGCTAGCAGCAACAAGGTCAACACGCATTGATAATTGGCATATACCCTTAGCATTCTATGCTTTATGAATGTCTTCGTTGAATCTCCACACAACAAACATCGTCACATTTTCTAAAGACAACGGGACAAATAAAAAGGAAAGCTCGATGAAGCGATAAAGAAAGCACTGAACACTCTTACCAGATTGAAAAATACATAACTGGTAGATAAACGCGATGAAAAACAGAGTGAAGAGAATGTCAATGGTGTTTCGTCTATGGCATGATGGCCACCTGCTATACAGGCATTACAGCATGCTAGGTACAAGAACCTAGCGCCTTGTTCAATCCATTATAGAACCTAGGCACAAAGAGAGGGTTACCCATACTTGGACCGAAGCTTATAGGCAACTAAGGCAAGGGGCATAACATGCAAGGCTA